TCATCCATCCATCCATCATCCATCCATCCATCCGTCCCGCTCTCCAGCTACTTGCTCCAGCTCCCCCAGGAAACCCCAAGGTGCTCCCAGGCCAGCAGAGAAACATAGTCCCTCCAGCGTGTTCTGGGTCTCCCCCTGGGCATCCCCCTGGTGGGACGTGCCTGGAACACCTCACCAGGGAGACCTCCAGGAGGCATCCTAACCAGATGCCCGAGCCACCTCAACTGGCTCCTCTCGATGAGGAGGAGCAGCGGCTCTACTCTGAGTCCTCCCCGGATGACGGAGCTTCTCAACCTATAGAGCCCAGACACACTACGGAGAAAACTTATCCAGCCGCTTGTATCCTGGATCTCGTTCTTTTGTGACCCAAAGCTCATAAACATAGATGATAGGGTCATAGATCCATAGTGTTGAAACGTAGATCCACAGGTAAATCTAGAGCTTTGCCTTTTGGCTCAGCCCTCTCTTTCCCCAAAAACCCTCACTTCATCAAACTGAAGTGCCTTTCACTCTTTATTTATGCCTTGCATTTCAGTGGCCTAAGAGGTAAACATATTTGCACTTAAAATGTTTAGTACATAGTTTTGGAATCTACATGACCCCCATTCCAAAGGAGTGGACCCGTTCATCCGTTTCAATTTTCATGTTTCTAAACAAAAACTAGGCTTTATTGGGCTACTGTATAAAACTTTGAACTCACTGCTATTTTGGACATTTTGAATTGAAAAAGCTTCCTGGATGGGAAGAGAAACGTCTTCAAACCTGGAAGCAAAGTCCAGTGGATTGATTATTTACTTTTTGGAACACATCTAACCTACATGGTTAGAATTTCTGGCCCAAAAAAACAAACACTTCAAATAAGGAGGAAAATAATACTGAACTCTACTTAAAGCTGGCAGCAAGAGGGTACACCATCATGTGACAAACCTTTTACTTTTTGATGTCAATTAACAGAGGAGCCATATCTGGATGTAATATTTTGTACACATAAAATTGAACTCAAAAAAATGTGGACCCGTTTGTCCGTTTCAGTTTGCATGTTTACTAAACAAAAACAAGGCTTTTGTTAGGCTGCTGGATAAAACCTCAACGGTATTTCTGACATTTTGAATTAAAAAAACTTCCAGGATGGAAGAGAAACGTCTTCAAACTTGGAAACAAAGTCCAGTGGATTTTTTTTTAAACTTTTTTTTACTTTTTTCGAACAAAAAAAAAAAAAATCATATCACAAAAAACATTATCAACCAACAGCCTTTTTGGACAACCCATTTGATATATATATATATATATATATATATATATATATATATATAAAAAGTTTAATAATTGTAGTGGGAAAAAACTATTAAAATATTCACCCTAGTTAAATAAACAGATATCGATTTTACTCAGTCTGCACTTTATTTTCATATCTTTGCAAAGAGAGAACAGTTCATATTAGCCCTTATGGAACCGTAATCAGCCCTGTTCTGATCTAGACAGAGTTTTTCTCCCTTACTTATGTTAATGAAAAACTGTGAAGGTTGCGTCAGAGTAAAAACAAATTACGGTACAAAAACTTTAACAACCTTTGGGAGAGAATTTGGCTGTGGGAATAATAATGTTTTGTATACAACCACTCCTCACTCAGACATTTTCTCAGCCTTGCAGGTGAAACAAACTGAGTAAAAGCATTTTTCTCTGGATAAATAGCATAGCTAAATATATGGAGAAAAAAAAAGAAATCTACATTTTCCAACACATAATAACTATTATTTATTATCTACTAATAACTATTATTTATTCACTATCTTATTATTATTATTATTACTTATTTAATTCATGGTGCAGTAAAAATGTGTTTAGTACGGCCAGTGCATCATGAGGTCTAAGTAGCAATGAATCCATAGTATTAGTTTTTACAAAACAGCTTAAATGTATTAGGGATGGGTGGACAGTTGACTTGCTTTGTTGATTTTACACATATTTCAGGCTCAGGGTTGAAAAAAAAAAAAAAAAAAATATATATATATATATATATATATATATATATATATATATATATATATATATATATATATATATATGCTATTAACTCTGAACATGGGTGTGATAGTTTTTCAAGATATTGTACGTATACACCAGTAAGCTATGATTTAAGGTCCCCTTGGAACGTCTTCTAGAAGTAAACAAAAAATGGCTCCATTTCACTGCTTAACTGCAAAGGGAATCGTTTTTAAACGTAGATATTAAGTAAAGGATGTGATTTGTGTTTCAGGCCAATAAACTCAGAACCAAGACTCTGCACAACACACTCAACCCCGTCTGGAGCGAGACGCTGACGTACTACGGCATCACCGACGAGGATATGGTCCGCAAAACTCTCAGGTACGCTCAGCAGTAAGACCAAAGAGTATGAAGAAAAGACAAGGAAAAATAATGTGGGAAATAAAACAGCATGACTCAAAGAAACATTATAGACAGGAGCTAAGTTATATTAGGAAAAGTTATGGAACATATAAAGGTAGTGGTGCTAATGTGAATTATAAGGAAAGAAGACAAGAATTAGAGATGAGAAATGAGTAGAAATGGAGGTAAGGAAGGATGAAAACTAAAGTAAATTATAGGAATTAAATTAACAAGGAAGATGTTAGAACAAAGAAAAAAGACTGAAAGGAAAGAATCAGATTAGACCCTGACAGAAGGAAGTGAGGCAAAATGGGCCAATTAAAGAAAATCACAGGAACTCGGGAGTAATGGAAATGGAAAGGCACATAATAAAAAAGGATAAATGCAGAAAGTCTAAGAAGAAATCAAAAAGAACAAAGGACATGAGAATTTTTAAAAAGTGACCTAAAGAAAACAGAGAATAACATGTTCCTTTCTTTTTTAAATGTTCTCTTTTTTTTGTGGTTTTATTTTAGTGTTAAACAGTTTTTCTTCCTGCTTTCAAGGATGAAAAAACATATTTTAAGGCATCAACTCTTCATCCATAATTGCACAACCTTCCTGTTTATCCACCATGTGTTAAAACTCCTAAACAGAACAAGCAGAATATATTTGGTCTCATGCAAAGGTGGGAGGATAAAACACTTTTTATTCTCCTTCCAGTCAGTAAACTATACATACGGAAAGACATGTTGCCAAAAACTTTAAACTCCCTCTGAAAATGATGACACATTCATGTAATTCAAGTGTTACTTCACCTCCACCGGCTTCCTTCTTTATACCAACGTGTTAACAGTGTATAATAAAGTGGTGGAGGTAGGTTATGCAACCATATGCACACTCTTTGTTTGAGATGGACTGAGTACAGAGGAGGAGTGTTGGTGCTGCTTTGGTTTAAGTGTTAGCTCAGCGAACTATCAGAACATTGCCAGTGATTCCCTTCATGCATAAACGCCGCTGTATTAATTATTCAACACTTATTTTAGCCTTTAAGAGCAAGATGCACTGGAAAAAAAAAAAAAATGTCTTAAATTAAGTTTATTTATCCCTAATTTGAGCAGGTAAATAAGATTATTTGCCAATGGAATGAGTATTTTAACTCTTAAAATAAGATAATTAGTTATTATGCACCTGAAATAAAACAATGCAGTTGTGTTTTCTTACTGGAAAGAGAGTAAATTGCCTTATTCTATTAGCAAAATGTCTATTTTAGTATGGGGCGACATTTATAAAGTTAAGCAGTAAAACATTAGGAGCAATATTCATGGTTATTTAGTGTGCTTTAAGAGAAATTATTTTTT